GGGCGGGCAGGTGGGGGACGGCGAGTTGCAGGGAGAGTGTACATGGATGCAGTGCCGCTCTAGACGATCCTTCGTGCCTCATTGTGCGTGGGCTGCCGCCCGCAGTAGGAGATAAGCATCGGCGGGGTGCCAAACGGCCCCACACACGAGTTGCTCAGGTGTCCGCACAGCGCAGGCCTGGGCTGCAACTCACCCCCTCTGCCATGTCGCCGACCAGTGTGTCAAGCGACCTGCGCAGGTCCTGAACTCGTGCCATGACCTGTGATTGGACAGCGGCACTTAGATAGTGGGGCGCAGACCCGCTAACAGCGTTGCAGACGCGCAGCGCAGGGAGCAGCGGTGGCGATGTGACGGCCGGTTGTAGATGCCGCACCGCTGATAGATTGAGTTCCCCGGTTCCATGTCCGAAACACATCTGCTGAACCTGCTCTTGCGCCCCCGCCATTCTGACAATTGCTGATCAAGTGCTGATCTACAGGCAGGAGTTGACGTACATACGAAAGCTGCTGGCTAGAAAATTGCAAGGACACAGTTAGTACACTATAATTACATAACGTGAACTTATTTGTCATCTTGCAGCCGTGCAGAAAGATCTCTGAAATGTTTTCGCCGCAATCGCCCCCACGCTTGAAGGCGCTCCCGCAGCAGGACTCCGAGAAAACATTCTTTTGGCGCGCTGTGTCAAGGGTGCGAGGCGCAGCAGCAAGTCACCTGCAGCACACACGCGTGCGCAGCTGTGAATTTTGCCGCTTGTGCTGCTCGCTGCAAGTGCACCAGGCCCACAGACAGATGTAGCGCGTCCTCGTCCAGCCCACCTATTGGCTTACTACCCGTCGTGCAAACACGCAGATGGCCAAGCAGCGCTGGCTGACCGTGGGCGCGCTGCTTGTGGTCGGCGTAGGCGGCATCGTCGCCGCCGACTCGGTGAGTGTCGCGCACCGCCCGCTTTGCAGTCGCAGCGGACGCCAGCCGCCCCCCACTTGCAATGCTGCGAGCAGCTGAGTACGACGCCTTGACACTGCGTCGAGCGGTACAAACACACTTGATCACCGAGCCGGCTGGTGTGTGCTGGCTTCCTGCACGATGGCGGATTTCGTGAGTTGCCACACTTGCCAACGGCACCGATGTGCCTGCTTGGCCGCCCTTGTGGTGCAGGTCGCTGAGTTTGTTGTTTCGAAGCTACAGATTCCCCAGGATGACGACGTGAGTGAACGCATGACGCCAGGATCAGCTCACGTGCATGCCTGCCGGAGCAGGGCCCGTCTGCAGTACAGGCATCAACGCGTTAGCTTGTTGAGCACGCAAGGCACTCGGGTGTGCACCGCAGACATCTCTTTCATATGTCATCCCCTGTCGGCACATCGCGCGCGCAGGACTTTTGAGTTGCCACAAAAGCTCTATCGACAACCGTTCGAGGAGGCGCACTGTCCTCCTCCTGCCCGCCGGCCCTGGCTTGCAATACGGCAGCCCGTCACCTGCTCCTCAACAGCAGCCTGCACGGCCCTCACACAGATGCATCCACTGCTGCGGCGGCCTCAAGTGGCACACGTGCATGGCAACACCTGTCGAGCACAGGGAAATGCTCCAGCCCGGCGCTGCAGCCGGCGCACCCCCGCTGCGAGCAAGCCACCTCCCCCAAGCCCCCACCCCGTCCAAGCTGCACTTGTATCGCGCAGCCCAGCTCCAAGCAAGCTGCGGACCCTCGCTTCCCTGCATGCCGCCCTGCAAGCAGCCGGAGCAAGCTACCTCCCGGCTGGCACACTGAGGCCGCCGCCTGGGCGCTTGCAATTTCGCTCGCCTGCGTGGTGCATGTGCACCTCACCCAGTGGTGGCGGCGCAGGGTGTGCGCAGCGCCGCGTTTCGAGGCTTATCAGTGTGCGTCAGGCGCATGGACGCCTGCACATGGTAACTGTTGCCTCTGTGCCCGTAGAAATGATGTGGTTGCGGACGATTTGCAGGACCAGAAAGTCAAGCTGTTCAAAAACATCGAACAAACAGGGATCACCGCTTGCTTGGGCTACTTGTGGATGCAGTGCCACATCTGCCGGCAGCGGGAAGGTGCAAACACAACCACGAGCAGACACAGGGCGTCCACACGCACGGCGTGGCAATGACATAATGTCAAAAAGAGTAGTGGGGTCGCATGGAACTCAAAACGGATGACATGAGTCACCAGGCGCTCGGCGAACCGCAAAGCGACACGACAACGCCACCCCGCGGACCGAGACATTGCAAGCACGAACTGCCACAGCGGAGATCGCCAGGCCGCGCGCAGCGATGGTCGCCTGGGGTGGCGCTACCGTGGTCGCAGTGCCACGCATACAATTGATGCAGCCAGGCTCCCACATCTGGGATGGGTCTCCCACCTACTATGCCTGCGGCGTCGCCTCTCTGCCCTGCCGCTCGCTGCCGCCTTCCCTCTCGCTGGCGCCGCCGGCACCTTCCAACTGCTCCTGCACCTGCTCCTGTGGCTGCTGCGGCTGCTGGGGCGGCTCGTCGAAAGCCAGGTGCCGCCGCCGCTGCCGCGCCCGCCCATTTCGCGAGGCCCTCGCCGCGCCTGTCGCCGCGACGCCGTGCTCACCATTGGGGTGTCCCTCCTGCAGCCTGCGAGTGTGATTGCGGTTTGCAAACATGGTGGGCACCAAACATGCCGTGCACACAGGCGCTGCGCAAATGCTTGCTGATGAGGCGGCAGCCATGGGAGGTTGCTCAAGCTCGCCCAGGCAGGGCCGGTTAGCGCTGCAGGCGCGGGGCCCGCGGGCTGGCCGCCAGGGGGAGGTGGTGGCATCCCACCGCGCCGGCCGCCCCACCTGCTGCTGCCGCAGTCCAGCATCGCCTCGTCCTGCCCGCCCTCTCCCTCGCTGTCGCTGCTGCCGTCGCCGCCGTCGCCGCGCGTGTCGTCCTCGCTGGCCGACGTGAGGGCTCTGCGGGGTTGCCGGTCGCAGGGACCTCAGCACAGCGGCCGCCACCTATAGACTCCTGCAACATCAGGGCCGCACCCAAACACACCCGCACAGGGGGCGCAGCGGCAGCCGCGCGGCCCGACAACGCACCTGCCGAGCCTCAGCGCCTCCCGCATGTTGTAGTGGGCGCGCCGCGCCGCCTCGAAGCGCTGCCGTTTCTCTGAGCTGAGGCCGCCGCTGCCGTCGCTGCTCGTCATCGAGCGTGGCTGCGAATGCATGCAGGGGTTACGGGTGACGTGAGGTGGCAGGTCAGCCTGGACAGTTGCGAACAAAGGTGCAAAGGTGCATGGCCGCGTGCGGCCGCGCCACATCCCTCCCAGGATTGTGTGCTTTGTCTCCTCAATCAGCAGCTGCATCTATAAATCACCTTCGCCATGCGGTCAATGTTCCGCACCTCCGACATTGACCGTTCGGTGCGCTTGCCGCTGCTGATCTGTGCGGGTGGCACCAGGGCAAGGCGTGGATGTGGTGCTGTGATGCCTGAGACAGTTTGCTGCATACACGCGCTACAGAATGGTACTGCACACAATATGCATAGAAGTCCAAAATCAACCAGCCAACACAGCCCAGCAGCGACATGCTGCAGTACCCACTGCAGCGCTTCAAATCGAACAACGCTCACCACTCCGCTGTCCGAGCGCGCGCGGCCCCGCACGGCCGCGTTCGCCGGCGCGATCGCGTCGTGTGGCGGCGAGCCGCCTGATGGGGCCGCGTCGGCACTGCCGTTGCCCAGGAAAAAGTCGAAGGCCGACATCTTGGGCTGCTGCGCCTCCCCCTCCTCCCCAAGCGCTAGCGGCCGCATGTCATCCTCGAGCTCGTCGCCAGGCGAGGACGGCCCGTGGTAGGGCGTCTTTGGCTCGGGGACGCTCACGTTTGCAAACTCTGCCTGGATTTTCTCGTTCTCTGCGTGGACGGGAAGCAACAGGCCCGGCGCGGGCGGCTTGGGTCGGGCGGCGGTCACGAAGCATCAAGGCAATGGCGCCCACTGCTGGTGCGTGCACAGGCGCCCTGTTCAAACATCCAGCTAACCCCGCCACACCTGCTAGGTTTTCCTCGTCCCATACCACATGCTTCCTGCTACTGGAGCGGTCTACAGGATCCATGGCGCGATCGACGTGGCACCGCTTGGCCCCGGAGGCTGTCGCCGAGCGTGTAAAAGAAAGGTGTAATCTTTCTGGTGCGTTCACAGAGTCTGATGCGTCCAGGAGGGCGAGCCGCGGGGTGGCAGGAGGGTGAGAACGCGTCCAGAGAGGCGTGAGGGATCTAGCCTGTGCGCGTCGCGTTCTGAAGCTTTCAACAGTGTTGAGATGCTCTTGAGACTGCTGAAGTGCTGTTAGAAGGTCAGTTTGAGCGATCTGACAGCGGGTTTTCCGCGGCTGCCTTGCTTCACCGCGCGAAGCATTACTTGATTGCCCAACAAAACGCACACATGCCTCTCCATCCTTCGACCAGCTTGTTCATTTATCACGTCAACTCAAGACGTGGTCAAGATCATCGCCCTGGGGCAAGCTCTACCATACCGTGGTGGTTGAAAAAATCAAGCTTTGAAAGGGCACGAAGATTGTGATTATAGGCTGACTACGTTCACAGGCGGCTTGAATCGGCGCGGCGGCAGCTGAACGTTGACAGCAGCACCGAGCACCCGCAGCAGCCGAGCAGAGCAGGGCAGCGCTGCTGCAGTGCGTCACGCAGCCGTGCAGGCATGGCCACAACAGTGGGCATCGCGCCCAGGTAAGGAATAGGCGGACCTGGAGGCAAAGGGCCGCACTTGGTGTGGTACGGGCCCTTTGCACGCCCCGTGCTTCCACCTTGACATCTGCATCGCGCAGGCGCGGCAAGGTGCAGAGGCCCGCCCCGCCCCCGTCCTGCGCGATTGCGCAGGCTCGTCTTTGGCCTGCGCACCGCGGCCGGTGCAGCGGGCGGCGACTGCCTACAATACGCCGAGGACGGCTCCTTCATATACCCGGGTGGCCACACAGTAGTCATCTCGGCGCCTGACGGCAAGTCACAGCGCTTCCTTCCTGGCACGCCGGACTGCGAATGCGTGACGGCGTTGGCGGTGTCGCCCAACAAGAGGTTACTGGCAGTGGCGGAGCGAGCAGAGAAGGTGCGCGGCCGCACGCATGCTACTAACCACCCCCAATCGTGGTTGCGCGCCGCATCGCCCAAGCGCAGTGGCTACGAGCCGCTGCGGCGCGCCTGCCGATTGCAGCGCCTCACTCACGCAGCTCGCCCACAGTTTGCTCTCCAAGATGGCCCATGCGCGCATGCGACGCGCCGCACTGCGCATGCGTGCGTCACCGCAGGGCGTCATAAGCGTGTACGACCTGCAGACACTGAAGCGGCGCAAGGTGCTACAGGCTGCGGAGGTCGGGTCCCAGGTGAGCCATGAAGGGGGTTGAGGGCCAGCCGCCTCCCAGAGCAGCTGCATGCGCTGTTGCTTGCGCCCTTGAACTTGCTTGATCAGCGGCGGCGTGCGAGATTCTCCGCTGGCGCTTGTCAGCAATGGCAGCAGCGCCGGCGCCGGCAGCAGGGGCTGCAGCAACCGCAAGTGTAGCAGCTGAGGCAAAGAATCGCCTGTTGATTCCCGTCAACCGCCATGTGCGCAGGAGTATGTCAGCATTAGCTTCAGCTCAGACGGCAAGCAGTTGCTGGCGCAGGTGAGGCGGACCACTTGTATATAGAAGCGAATGGGTGGCAAGCAGTTCGTGGCAGTTGCAGCCACACGCACAGGCGCTGTGTAGGTCCTTTTCCATCATATGATCGTGCCCATATGGCGCTAAAACTGCATTGGGTAAGGGCAGCAGCGTCATTAAAGCCGTGGTTGCAAGCGCTTACCTCTGCACCCCGCCCGCCTCCGGCATGCAGGGGGGCGCCCCGGAGTGGAACTTGCTGCTGTTCGCATGGGAGAGGGCCAAGGTGATTGGGGTCCAGAAGGGTTGTCGGGATGGCCCTGGGCAGCAGCCTTCAAAACAAACCCGCAGCGCCGCTGCATGCGGCCGGCACTCACCAGCTTGCCGGCCTCGCATGGCTCGCCTGCGCCATGGCGTGCGTCCGCAGGTCGCAGCGTCTGTGAGGACGACCAACGTCCAAGGCGTGCCCCTGACTAAGGTGGGTTGAGCTCGCGCGCAGCAGCAACAGCCTCTCATGCGAATGCCGCAAGCGCGCATCAAGAGCTCGTGCACCGTGACAACTCCATGCATAAAGTGCATGTCGCATGATAGGCAATCAGGCGTCGCTTTCTGCTTGGCCTGTGCTAAGGTTTGAATCCATATTACCTAAAACCCTGAATCCGCGCAGTGCTCGCTCAGCCTTGGAGAAGGCAGCCTTGCCACTGCCCTGGGGCCTGGCGTGCTGCGCATATTCAGGTGAGGCGCGCCTGCGCCTGATACACGCAGGCTCAGCTTGTCTGCGGTCGCTGCAACCTGGTTTTTACCTGTAAACTCACCTTTCTGAGAACCGATGAAACTCGCATGGATGGAGTGCCTCTCATACTTCCACATGTGCGCACAAACATGGGGACGCGTGCTGCCATTCCTGCCCTGTTGTTTGCCAATCAATCACCTGCACACAGGGTGTCGGAGGGTGGCCTCAAGGCTCTGCCAATCAACAATGCCAAAAGAGAGGGCCTGCCCTTCACATGCCAAGTGCGTGGGATCCATGGATTACGAGGATTAGGGGGGTTACTGCGTCCCCGGTAACGTGCCTCTACAATCCCCTGCATTACCGGCAAATGCCCAGGCTTGTAGATTGGTTGAGGGGCTGTACATGCGTCAACTGTAGGTTGGTGAGTGATGCTTTGTTGGGATGCCCTTCGCCACAACATCTATCTCGTGGTCGCTCCCCAGGCGTGGCTGCCGCCCACCGGAGGCGCGGGCGCGGGCGGCGATGGCGCCGACAAGGGGAGCACGGCCGCGGGCGCGGCTGCGGGGGACGGCCGCGACAAGGAGCGGCAGCTGCTGGGCACGTCGGATGGCGAGATATTGCTGCTGGAGGTGGGTTTGAGAGGGATATGAAGCTCTGAAGTCAAAACAGGGATGCTGCTTTTGATCAGTGTGCCCTGCCCATCATGGCTGCAGGCACCACATTGCAGGGAACGCATCAATGTGACGTGATGGTCGCATCGGGGTCAGGCTCCCGGGCCAGAGCCACAGCTGTCGCGCGTTGGGGGACAAGGGATGACGCCGCTGTCCGTCTCGGCACACTTCCAAGAGCTGATGCTGCACACCCGCCCTGGTGCACGTGCTGCCAGGGCACCGAGCTGCGGGCCACGCTGTCATGCGACACTGGTGGCAAGAGCGTTGAGTCGCTGGTGGCCTATGGCAAGGTGGGGGCACGGCTCGGACTAGGGCGCCCAGGCGCAGCGCCGCGCCCCTTCCGCAAGCCTGCGTCATGGTGACGTGCTGTGGTTGGGTTACTCTGCCGCACCTAGAGTGCGCACTTGCCTGTGGTGTCAGCAGCTCCTGGTTCACCTGGCGCGGCCCTAATGATCATGGGACGTGGCTCGGTGCTCCGCCCGCGTGTGCCACAGGGCTTTGCCGCGGGCCAGGAGGCCGGGCTGGTCACGCTGTTTGAGAAGGACGAGCGCGAGAAGGAGGGCTTCCGCCGCGCCCGCACCTTCGCGGTGCACGACCACCCGCTGCGTGTCAGGTGAGCGGGAGCGCTGGTGTGCCGCCGCTGCACGCAGATGGGCGCATCGCGTGTGCTTGTTGCACAACGCACCAGGCCTGATATGCACCTTGTCGCGTGCGCCAAGTCCTCTTGGCCTCCTCCTCTCCTAGCCGGCGCCCGGCTGTGGGGCCCTTAGAGCGGCCGGGCCCGCCAGTCCTTTGAGCACGTGCATGCGCCAACCGCCGCCGTTTCGCTTGCCCCTAGGTGCCTGGCCGTCTCCCCGGGGGAGGAGCAGCTGGCGCTGATGCTGGAGGGCGGCCCCGCGTTCACCCTGGCCCTGCTCAACCAGGCGAGCTGCTGCAGACCGCATGCGCCGGACCCGCCAAGCCTTGGAGCCCAGCAGTGCTGGTTGGGGCGGCACGGCTTGTGCTTTTGAGGTGCTGGCAGGTCCAAACGACGAGAAGGGTTCTTGGTCAGCAAGCTCTAGACTCCTGGGCTCTCGTTTGTGACTTGAGCAATCTCTGACATCACCATGACGACGACACTCCTCACCTGACGACTAAACCAGGAGCTGATGAAGCCGGACGAGATGAACTTTGAGCAGCTGGGGCCGGGCCTACACACAGAGGGTGCGCAAGAGGGGTGGATCGCAGGAGAAGGGGCGGTGTCATCTCCGTCAGCACAGCACAGCTTTGAGGCAGCAGCCGCGAGGCGGGGATGGCGTTGATGTCCGACGGCCCCAGCTGGGGGCCTTACACGGGCTTGCCTTGGCCGCCATAGGTGTGTATGAGGGGCGCCCCGCCTCGTGCCCTGACCACCTGTGTCCATTTCAACCCCAGGTGTCACTGGCATGGACACCTGCATTCGGCGGCCGCTTGTGGTGACCTGCAGCACGGACAGGTGAGTCCGCTACGGAGCACATTATGTGTGGCGCAGCGCCAGCAGGCGCAGTTGGCTGCGCAGCACCTTGGCCTGTCTGCAGACGCAGTCTTGCTTGCTGAGTTCTAGCACTCCACAAAGCCCCCACATGGCATTTGCATGCTTGCACGTCAGTTTGCTGCCTAGCTTCCATGCACCCTTTTGCATGTCCCTGATGTTACAATAAACAGAAGCTGGTTATACCCCATTCTTGTGTGCTTTCGGTTTGTGCTGATGGAAATTCCTGTGTGCCGCCTGCCTTCCCGCCACAACAGGCACGTGAGGCTGTGGAATTACCTGGACCGCACGTGCGAGCTGGACAGGTGCGGTCAGCATGAATTCATCATCACATCCAGGGCCAAGCTTATTGCAGTGCTGCAGCCCACGCTTGCGGGCCCGCAGGGTTCAACATGGGAGTTGGCTGAGATGCTGCAATGGTGGGGCAGGCCCGGGATAACAGTGCACGAGCCCTGTTGTCCTGTTTCAACTACCGTCTGGTTGCTCCTTCTTAAGTACCAAACGCTGGGCCTGTTCCCCACGCCCCTGTGCGCAGGTCGTTCACCGAAGAGGCCCACAGCGTGGCCATCCACCCCACGGGCACCATGCTCCTGGTGAGCGAGCCGTGCGGTCGCACACGGCCCTACGACACTGCTGCTGGGCTTCGTGCCGCCGCATTGCTGCTCTGTGCATGAACACAGGCCATTTGTCTTTGTGCACCGCAACTAGACATGGTTTCTTGCTGATTTCCACGGGCACTCAAATGTGCACCTGCACAGAGTACCCGGAAATGTACTGTGTGCACTCAGTGCCTATCGTACACAGAATGGCACCACATCAATAAAGTCGGCCTCCACCACACAACCCCCAACAAATGCGCGCAGGTGGGCTTCTCAGACAAGCTCCGCCTGATGGCTGTGCTGATGGACGACCTGAAGACCGTCAAGGAGCTGGCCATCAGGGGCTGCAGGTGCGCGGTCTGAAGCAAGATCGCGCCTGGGCATGACTCATGATGACGAGGTCTTGTCATCATGACTCGAGACATGCGGCCCCCTAAGCCTCTGTGCCTCCATCATCGGACGCTGGCTTGCAGCGCTCGTGTCCGCTTTGATTGCTGACTTGCAATGTTCACCAGACTTGCAATTTTCCACCAGGAAACGGGCTGAATCCTAGTGGTTCTGCCCTGTGTCAGTCTGCTCATGCCCTGCACGCGCGGCGCCCGCAGAGACGCGGCCTTCGCCCACGGCGGCCACCTGTTTGCGGCGGTCAACGGAATCAGCGTGGCGATCTACAACGCATACACGGCAGAGAACATTGGCAACCTGCGCGGCCACAACGGCAAGGTGCGGCCGCCCGCAGCTGAGGGCCAGCCGCAGCGGGGCTGTGCTGGAGCCGCGTCTCGGCTGCTGTACAGGCGCTTGCTTGGGGAGTGGGAGAGTGCTGCTACATGACGTGTCTCTGAAATCAAGGCCGCCTTGGTGTCAAGGTCCTTGGGCCCTGGTGCTCAACTCCACTGACCCTGCATTGTTGGTCGGCGGGGGTTGCGTGCGTGCTTGCGATTGCGAGCGCGCTGCAGGTGCGCAGCCTGTGCTGGAGCGCGGACGACACCCGGCTGCTGTCCAGCGGGGCGGACGGCGCCGTGTATGAGTGGCGCCTGTCAGACCTCAAGAGGTGGGCGTCAGGGGGAGGGGCGTGCACCAGGATCGCGCCGGACTACATGTGGAGTTGAGCCGCACACGCTGTTTACCGTCCTGCCTTTGTGCACATCGCCACTATCACCTATGCTGCGTGACGCGGAGCCAAAATCTCCCTTGCCAGCAAATCTGATAATTCTGGCTGCCTACGTAGACACAGACTATAATCTACAACCCTAAACCCCAAACCTGTGCGTCACCCTGGGCAGGGACAAGGAGAACGTGCTCAAGGGCTGCTCATACAGCGCGGCGGTGGCCACGCCCGACAACCGCGCGCTGCTGGCGGCCGGCAGCGACAAGAAGATCAAGGAGCTGGAGGATGCCGCGGTGGGTTGCTGCCGCTGCTGCTGCTGCTGCTGCCCCCGCTGCTGTTGCTGCTGTTGCTGCTGCTGCTGCCGCTGCTGCTGCTGCTGCTGCCGCTGCTGCTGCTGCCGCAGCTGCTGCTGCTGCTGCTGCTGCTGCTGCTGCTGCTGCTGCTGCTGCTGCTGCTGTTGCTGCTGCGGCAGTGGCAGCGGCAGTGGCGGCCTCTGCTGCTGCTGCGGCGCCTGCTGCAGGCGCTTCTCAGGGTGCGGCTTCTGGGGGCATGGGAGGGGGCGCATGCGAGTCGTACTCTCACACCCTCCCTACCTTGCGCGCGGCCCGTCGCTGTCCCCGCCTCGGCGACAGGGCACGGGCACCCAGGTATCGCGCGAGGTGGACACCGGGTGCGCCGTCACCGCGCTGGCGCTACCGTACGGCGGGCGCGTGCTGTTTGCCGGCACTGAGACGGGCGCCGTGCGCGGGTACCGCTACCCTCTGACCGGGGAGTTTTACGAGGTGGGTGCCTTCGGTCACCGGGAGCCACAGCGTCACCGCCATGACATAGGGTGAAATGCTCGTGGTGTGGCGGCGCACCAATCATTGCGGCAAGTGTCCCTGGCCGCATGTCATCAGGGCCCCTCCCTTGCGCTTCGCCTAGGGGCGAACACCACACACAACTGCTGTGCAGGGCGGTTTTCAGGCGGCACGTGCGCTGCACGCCTTGAGCACACCCGCCAGGGTTGCACACCATTGTCGTGCACAGCCAGCCCCTGAACCGACGCGCCGCTCCGCTCCCGCCCCCGCCACTCCCTGCCCCCGCCGTCCAACCCCCTACAGCTCAAGCTCCACGCCGGCCCGGTGACGCGCCTGGCGGTGTCGTACGACGACTGCCTGCTGCTCAGCGCGGGCGCGGACGGCGCGGTGGTGGTGATGGACGTGAAGGACAAGGAGCTGGCAAAGGCCTCGGCGAGGCGCGACCAGGCGCGCCCAGTTTTGCTGTGCTTGGAATGCTCCTGTGGCCCCTGCGTCTGATATGGCGGCCCGCCGCTGCGTTGAGTTCGAACAGCTGCGAGGTTTGATTGCACTGCTGGTGCATGCGTCTTTCCCCCTCCTCCCCAAAATCGATCATACAAAACAACGGCCTATCCAGGAGAAGCTGCCGTGGGCGGAGGAGGTCCTTGTCAGCAAGGCTGAGCTGGACGAGCGGCGTGCGCGCGTGACAGAGCTGGAGCAGCAGGTGTGGTTGCGTG